AAGATTGTAAAGGTTACAAAATAGGAAAGCAAAAAGAGGAAAACTAAGAGCAATATACAAAGAGTGACCGAACTGAAGGAAAAGGAATTGGAGTATAGAGACTACGCTTTGGCCTTGGTTTTATAGAGAAATCATGGTTTTGCTTATTCACTGTTGCACTATTAAAATCAAATTCTCTCTCATTATTAACTATTTTTCTTAAAAGTCTCGTTATTGACTATTAAAAACCTTCTTTTGCTTTTAAATAAAATTAAATGCAGTTTTAAATGATTTTTTAAATAAAGAGAAATAACTCTTTTAAATAAAATTAAATGCAGTTTTAAATGATTTTTTTTAATAAAGAGAAATATCTCTTTTAAATAAAATTAAATGCAGTTCTAAATGATTTTTTTAATAAAGAGAAATAACTCTTTTTTTATTGGATCAATTTTTATAGAAGTAAAGAGATATCTACTCCGTTTAATAACTCATATTCTACATTAAATTTTAATGATATAACTGTTGAATTTAAAGTTTTTAACACTACTAGAATTTCTCTTATTACATGCGACTTTTCCTGCAAATTTTTCATAAAAATTCGCAGGAAACATTGTTCCTGCAAATTTTCCTGCAAAATTTTATCTGCAGGTAATACCTTCGTGGATAATATTTTTTTGCGAATTTTAAAATTCGCAGGAAATTTTCAAAACAATTCGCAACAAAGTTTCCTGCGAATTTTTTTGCAATAATATTTTTTACGAAAAAATTAAAGAAATTACTATAAATTCTATCAATAATTTTTCAACTTTCAAATGCTCACAATGAATTCATCCGAAGCATTTGTTTCCATGCCTCCTACATGTGATACATAATCTTTTAAATTATAAGCCTAACACTCAACTATATAAATCAACTTGTAAGGTAAGTGTTGCTCCAACTTATATATTCTTTAATTGTCTTATTTTCAATCGATGTGGGACTTGAAGTTTTTTTAAAATATTAAACTTATAAATTTAAATATATTTTTTTATTTTTCCTGCGGATTAAAATTTGCAGGAAAATCCGCAGGAAAAGTTAAGCGCAAAATTTTTCTACCATTTAATAAACATTACTTGAGAATTTATTTTTACAAGAAAATCTGCAATAAACAAAATAAAATTCTTACAATATTTTTTACCATAGAAAAAAATTTCTATGATTATTAAAATTGTAGCAAAATTTGTAAGAAATATCTGTAAATTATTTTTCACAAATAAATTCGCAAAAAATTTCTGCGAATAATTTTTGTAGGAAAATTCGCAAAAAAATTTATGCGAATAATTTTTGGCAAGAAAATTCGCAAAACAAATTTTGCGAATATTTTTTTGCAAGAAAATGACACTTTTCTAATAGTGTA